ATGAATCTTTTTGGTGCATTTTATTGGACAAAATGCCTTTTCTTGAATAAAATACAGAGAGGATAATACCATTTTTAAGCTTTCAGAATTATGAAATCAGGAATGAAAGGTGCTATTTTAGTTAAATTATAATTTGGTAAAGAATAAATAAATGTGCTTTGTAAATTATTTTTCTCCAATGAAAGCAATGTTCATTCTTTAATCCCTATACTGGCAAATTTTAAGACATATTGAATGGTTATCTTTAAGATTTACAAAGTTTATTTTTACATGCAGATTTTAATTTAAAAAACTACTTTGAACTGAATAAATGCTTTCAGGTATATATACACACACATACTCATATACATATACCTGTATCTGTATCTATATATCATAAGCAGTTAATGTTATTATATAGCTGTTTATTATTCTTGATGAACTTATTGCCAATTTACTTTTGTTTGTAAAAATAATAGTCACAAGAATGAACCAACCCTAGTGATTGATGTTTCATTTGTTTATTTTTCAGGTGTTCCTGAAAAGCCTCAAATTAGCGGATTTTCATCACCAGTTATGGAGGGAGACTTGATGCAGCTGACTTGTAAAACATCTGGTAGTAAACCCGCAGCTGATATAAGATGGTTCAAAAATGACAAGGAGATTAAAGGTAAAGAATGGAAAAGGTCCCCAAATCAAAATTAATGTGCTGAAAATAGTATGAAAAATTAAATGCACTTTACATTTTCTTTTTGATACCACATTTATTTTCTAAGTTTAATTTAACCAAATTTACCCATTTCTTAACTAAGGTCATTTTGCAATGTATATTAATATTGTATTTATGTGCCTCATTTGCTCTCATTTACACGGGTCTATAATAATATATAATTCATGAGAAAGTTGATGGAATTAAGATATAAAAAACATGAGTTAATATATTAAAAAGCACATAGATTTGTGTTGACGGTAGTACTAGTAAGTACTAAGTATAAGTTAGATATTTCAGAACTCATCTATAATATTTAGATTGTAAACAGAGAAACTTCATGACTTATTTCTTAAATTTGTTGGTTTCTGGAATTACAAAGTTTTGACAATAAAACTGGTTAAACATCAGTAAATCTGATTCCTAGTAATTCTCAAGAGAGAAAATATAATTGACTCATTTTAGTAAAAATGCACAGTACAGTCATACCTCAGAGATACTGTGAGTTTAGTTTCAGACCACCGCAACAAAGTTCATATCACAATAAACTAAGTCACACAATTTTATTCATATCCATTGAATATAAATGTTATGTTTACATTACTCTATAGTCTATTAAGTGTGTAATAGCATTATGTTAAAAAAAATGCCAACCATCTTCTGAGCCTTCAGTGACTTCTAATCATTTTGCTGGTGGAGCGTCTTGCCTCATTGTTGACGGCTTCTGCCTGATCTGGGTGGTGGGTGCTGAAGGCTGGAGGTTGTGGTAATTTCTTAAAATAATACAACAGTGATTTTTGTATGCACTGGTTGACCTTTTCTTTCACAAACAATTTTTCTTAGCCTGTGATGCTTTTTGATAGTATTACTCACAGTAGAACTTCTTTCAAAATTGGAATTAATCCTCTTAAAACCTACTGCTGCTTTATCAAGTAAGTGTATGCAAGTTCTAATTCTTTTGTTGTTATTTCAATAATCTTTACAGCAGCTTCACCAGGAGTAGATTCCATCACAAGAAACCACTTTCTTTGCTCATCCATAAGAAGCAACTCCTCATTTATTAAAGTTCTTTTTTCATAAGATTGCATCGATTCAGTCATATCTTCAGGTTTTACTTCTATTCTTGCCTTTTCTACCACATCTGCAACTACTTACTCCACTAAAGTCTTGAACCCCTCAAAGTCATTCATGAGGATTGTAATCAACTTCTTCCAAATTCATGTTAATGCTGATATTTAGACCTCTTCCCATGAATCAAAGATGTTCTTAATGTCATCTAGAATGGTGAATCTTTTCCAGAAAGTTTTATGTTGAGTTTTCCAAGACCCATTAGAGAAATCACTATCTGTGGCAGCTATAATTATGAAATGTATTTTTTAAATTAGAAGATTTGAAAGTCAAAATTACTCCTTAATCCATGGACTGTAAAACAAAGGTTGTGTTAACAGGTGTGAAAACAGCATGAATTTAATACATCTCCATCAAAGTTATTGAGTGACCAGCTGCATTTCAGTGAGCAACGATATTTTGAAAGAAAAATTCTGCACAGTAGGCATGAACAGTGGACTTAATATATTCAGTAAACCATGTTATAGACCAATGTGCTGTCATCCAGGCTTTGTCGATGGATTTCTATAGAGCATAGGCAGAGTAGATTAGCATGACTTTTAAGGGTCCTAGGATTTTCAAAATGATAAATGAGCATTGGCTTCAACTTACAGTTAACATCTGCATTAGCCCCTAACAAGAGAGTCAGCCTGTCCTTTAAAGCTTTGAAGCCAGGCATTGACTTCTCCTTTTGAGCTATGAAAGTCCTAGATGGTACTTTTTTCCCCAATATAAGGCTATTTTGTCTACATTGAGAAATATGTTGTTTAGTGTAGCCACCTTCATTAATTATCTTAGCTAGATTTTCTAGATAACTTGTTGCAACTTCTACACCAATACTTGCGGCTTCACTTTGCACTTTTATGTAATGGGTGTGGATTGTTTTCTTACTAGTAAACCTCATGAACCAACTTCTGCTTGCCTCAAGCTTTTCTTCTGCTACTATCTCACTTGTCCCACCCTTCATAGAATTAAAGAGAATTAGGGCCTTGCTCTGGATTAGACTTTTAGCTTTAAAAAATGTTGTGGCTTTATCCAGATCACTAAACTTTTCTCTATATAAGCAATAAAGGTGCTTTCCTTCTTTATCATTCATGTGTTCACTGGAGTAGCATTTTTACTTTACTCAAGAACTTTTCCTTTGCATTCATAACTTAGCTAATCGTTCAGTGCAGCAGGCCTAGTTTTTGGCCTTTCTCAGCTTTTGACATGCCTTTCTTACTGAGCTTAATCATTTCTAGCTTTTGATAAGTGGGAGATGTACAACTCTCCCTCTAACTTGTGCACTTAGAGGCCATTGCATGGTTATTAATTGTCCTAATTTCAATATTGTTATCTCTCATGGAATAAGGAGGCCCAAGGAGAGAATGAAAGAGAGAAGAGGAAATGGCTAGTCAGTGGAGCAGTCAGAACACACACACAATATTTACTTATTAAGTTTGCCATCTTATGTTATGCCACAAACAATTACAATAGTGACATTGAAGATCACTGATGACAAATCACCATAACAAAGATAATAATAATAATAAAGTTTGAACTATTGTAAGAATTACCAAAATATGACACATAGACACAAAGTGAGCAAATGCTATTGAAAAATGACTACGATAGATTTGCTCAACACAGGGTTGCCACAAACCTTCAATTTGTAAAAACACAATATCTGCAAAGCCCAATAAGACAAAGCACAATAAAATGATGCATGCCTGTAAGTTAAGCATAGCTTTATTCTTACTTCATACACCTAAATTTAAATGCACATATACACACACACACACATACATTCTTTTAAGGAGGACATAAGTTTATAGGGGAGATGACAAGTAAGGTTAGTAGTGGTATTTTTTACCTCACATCCAGGTATCTGGGACTTGATGTCACATGTGCATTAAAATCCAAGTATAAGAATTATTTATGATGATTGTTAAAAATGTTTCCTATGTGTATAGTAATCACCTTGTTATTCTCAACGTAATCTAAGAAAAAGGTTTATGCAAACTGTTGGGATTACTTTAATTTATAAGTCTAATATTTTATCTTAGATTAAAATAATTCTTATTAATGGGTATGCAACACAACAGATAAGATTGCCTACCCTACTAAGAAATTATAGGTTTATAATCCATATAGGTATTCCATTTTGGGGGGTGTTTTAATTACTCTTTCTGTATATTTCATTTCCCAAATAGGACTATGTGTAATTTATTTCTAAACCTGACCTTTGTTTCAGATCTTCTAATAAATACATTTTATTGGATAAAATTTAGAGAACTATAATCCCCCCAAGGTACCATTCAAATATCTTGATGTGTTAAGTTAAACTTTCAGGTTACTATGTAACCTTATCCTATATTCTTCTGGTGCTCAGTAGCATCCATTCAAACTTGCCTTTAGGATATGTTTGTTTAGGCGTGTCTGAACTTGGTAACTTGGTAAGATCTTTCCTAAATAGACCCTCTGCACTGCTTCCAGAGTTATCTTACTATGACAAGGATCTGATTTGGCCACTTTTTCTTTATCTTTTTAAAAAATATATTTTATTGATGAAATAGCAGTATTTCATCTTTTTTATGGCTTAGTAGTATTCCATTGTGTATATATACTATATCTTCTTTATCCAATCATCTGTTGAAGGACACTTTGGTCTTGGCCAACATGAATAATTTTTCAATGAACATAAAGGTGTATATATCTTTGCAAATAAATGTTTGTTAAATTTTTGGGGTATATACCCAAAAAAGGGGTTGCTGGGTTATACAGAAGCTCTATTTTTTAATTTTTTGAGGTACCTCTATACTCTTTTCCATAGTGGCTGTACCCATTTACATTCCCACCATCAATGAATGAGGGTTCCTTTTCTCTGCAACCTCTTTAAGTTATAGCAACCTCTGTTAATTCTTGTCTTGTTGCTACTAGACATTCTAACAGGTATGAGGTGGTATCTCATTATAGTTTTGATTTGCATTCCCCTAATAAATAGTGAAATTGAGCATATTTTCATATATCTGTAGGCCATTTGTATGTCTTTTTGGGAGAAGTACTTGTTCAGGTCCTCTGCCCACTTTTAAATTGGATTGTTTGTTTATTTGGTGTGGAATTGTATGAGTTCTTTTTAATATATTTTGGGTATTCTCAGAGCTTTATTTGCAAATATCTTTTCCCACTGAGTTGGTTGCCTTTTTGTTATGTTGGTGGTTTATTTTGCTGTGTGGAAGCTTTTTAAGTTTGATATAGTCCCATTCATTTATTGTTGCCTTTACTTCCCTTGTCTTTGGGGTCAGATTTTTACATCCTCTCTATGACCAAGCTCCATAAGTTTAGTAACATATTTATTCTATGTAATGTATTGTTTCAGAACTTATATTTAGGCTACTTTTTCTGCTTAAACACTTCTGATGGAATGCTCTAACCTCCGGAATAAATTTAAAATCTGAAGTCTTTGGCCTATCAGAATGCTCTAGGCCAGTGGTCGGCAAACTCATTAGGCAACAGAGCCAAATATCAACAGTACAATGATTGAAATTTCTTTTGAGAGCCAAATTTTTTAAACTTAAACTATATAGGTAGGTACATTGTTATTAACTTAATTAGGGTACTCCTAGGCTGGCCTTTGCTAAAAACGTCCTCAATCTGATTGAGGTACATTTGCTGAGGTTGACCCCTTCCAATTCTCCCATCCACACTCGTCTTGTATACTTGTTTTGCCTATCTCCTTTCGTTCAACCTCTCTATATGTCCAAGCCATCTCACTATACCTTTCTCAATCCTCGACACTACATCTTCTTTCACTCCACAACATTCCCTAAAATTAACTTAATAAACTTTACTTAAAGTTTTAAGTCTTAGTTAAA